AAAATTAAATTTTTTATAAAAATTATAATTTATTTAATTTATATATAATATTAAACAAAGCCTAAATGCTCAACTTAAATCTCTTTGCAATGAGAGGAAAAAAAAAGGTTTATTGATTATTTTTTTGAATCAAAAGGTTGATTGATTATTGTATGTGCTCTTAGTATACATTTATTACACATTTTCATAATTAATTTATATAAAAAATTACTTGTATAAAATTAAATTTTATTTTTAATATTAATGTCACAGAAAATATTTTAATTAGATAATTGATAAAAATAAATTAAATTTTTAAATTTTTTTAATTTGTATGTTAGGACACAAGTTAATTTGCAATACTTGTACATTTTTGTATTAATTAATATTAAAAAATAAAAATTAACTTTTATTCAAGTAATTATCCAATTAAAGTAATACATACACATTAATAATGAAATTAATGATAATTTTATATTTTTTAATATTAATTAATGTGAAAAGGATTGTACCTTTAGAGTACTTTGAAATGTCTCAAATTTTTATTTTTTATATCAATTAATAAATAAATATAATAAATACATAAAAAAATATAATAAATACACAAAAAAATTACAAATTAAAAAATTTCTTATATTTATTCTAAGCAACCCCGTGACGCTACCAGAGAATTAAAGTACTTTGAAATGTCTCAAATTTTTATTTTTTATATAAATTAATAAAAAAATATAATAAATACATAAAAAATATAATAAATACACAAAAAAATTACAAATTAAAAAATTTCTTATATTTATTCTAAGCAACCCCGTGACGCTACCAGAGAATTAAATGAAAACCAACCCCTATGCTCAGGTCAATTACTCAACTATTAAGGCAACAATCTGCTTCATTCGTTAGGCGTTTGAGGAGAATTTTTTTCTTTCAATTTAATTGTCATTTTAAATTTTCAATACAACATTAATTAATTATCTTCTCATTTTATTCTTTAACATTAATTAATTGTCTCCTTCATTGAAACAGTGAAATAAAAATGAATTTTAAAAGTATAATTTTTTACTTAAAACATATTTAGCTTTAAAATTAAGAGTAATTTATTATTTTCCTTAATTATAGACTCTTACTACTTTCACTTAAATCATTTAATAATGTGAAATAGGGGAGTAGTACTCTTATCTCAATAAAAATAATAGATATTAAATTTAAGTTACATCTTATAGAAATTAAATATATTTATGATTCTGTTATTTAATTTAAAAAAAAACAATAAAAATGATAATAGTGAATAATACGAAAATCTCAAACACAAACTAAATTCATTTTGTTTTTAACAGATCATTGAAAATTTTGTTTAAAATGTACTTGTCCTTATTGACTTGATAGTTATTAATTATGATGTAAATACATCCCAACTTCAAGGTTAAATTTCGAATCGCCACCCAAAATTGTAACTTATTAAAAAAAAAAACCTTATTTAAAACCATCTGAGAAAAAGAATATTCCCTAATTTCCCCGTAAAACCGCAATCTGTTTTTCTAATTTCGCTTTTCGAATTTGCAAGAAAATGCTTTGCATTTCATTTTGGTCCCATCAATCTTCAGTGGCTGTCACTTTACGTGTAACACGCGGGGGGGAGGACTTCGAGTTCAAAACGTTAAAGTCCAACCCCACGTTTCGTTCCAAGCAAATGCCTTCGAGGTCTCACCCTCCCTCCTCTATCTATAAATACCCAGCCACGAGTCTTCGCCCAAATTGCATCTTTTGCCCCCAAAACAGAGCAAGTCTAGCTCCTCTAAGTTTCCACTTTCCGACCAAATTTTCTAAAAGAAAGAAACAGTGGTCGAAAGTCGAAACACTTAGTTACCTCTATTTTAACTTTACAAATGCCGCTCAAAGGGATGAGGAGCCTCTGCTTACGTGCCCTGAAGGCGCCGTCGTTCTCCATTTCAGGCCATCCTTCTTCACCTTCCAGAGCCTCCCAATCAAGTCCGCACCTGAGTGTTTCGGAATCCATGATCGAGCAAACCGTTGAAGCCGCAGCTTCGATCATCATGAAATGGAATCCAGACACATCAAGTTACGCCAGAGTTACTTCTCTCTTTTACTCTTGTAAAACAGAGGCGATGCAATTCTTGAAATGCGTTAACGATCTGCAGAAGGCCATGCATTTGATAGTTTCCGAAGATTCGGCATCGGAGAAGCTCATTCAAGCTCAAAATCTCATGCAGATTGCGATGAAGAGGCTCCAGAAAGAGTTTTACCAGATTCTTTCAATGAATCGAGCTCACTTGGATCCTGAATCAGTCTCGGCGAGATCATCACGCGCCTCGACTAGATCGAGCATGTCTGATTACGAAGATGATGGCTCACCGAACAATGAGATTCGCAACGCAGGCGATTCCATCTCCGAAGTCGAGGAAGTTTCCTCCATAGCCATGGCGGATCTGAAATCAATTGCCGACTGCATGATCTCCTGCGGTTATGCTAAAGAATGTGTATACATTTACAAAATTATCAGGAAATCCATTATCGATGAAGGTATTCACCGGCTCGGAATCGAAAGAATCAGCTCCTCTCAGATTAACAAGATGGAATGGGATGTGTGGGATTTGAAAATCAAGAGTTGGTTAGAGGCGGTGAAGATCTCGATGA